GATAAAGATGTTAAGTTAACATTCGAGAATCATTGTACATGGTCTTTGGGATAGATGGCAGAAGATGATAAATGCATTGCATTAAGAGCTTTTAGGTATAAACGGTAAAAGTACAGGACATGTCTTGAACGCTGGTGTGTTTTGAAAGATCCATGCCGGTATAGATGAGTTTATAGATCTGCCGTGCCGTTTCTCTGAGTCTATTTCTGATCCTCTTCGTCGTAGGACTGTGGTCTCCAGCTAAATGATGAGGAGGGCCACCGCTGTTACCCCCTAGAGGGACACTTGCTCTGCCATGGCTGCCACATCCACAAGCTCAAGGTCCCAGTGCCCGCCCACCCACCTCCCAGCTACCCTCTACACGTCACAGAGCTGTGAGAGGGAGGGAAGGCCAAACCCAACCCACCACCGACCGGCCTTCCAGGTGACCTGAGAACGCAGCAGAAGACGAGGAATTCCCACCCACGAGAATCCAGAATCTGTGTTTGCACAACCGGGGGACCTCGGCCTCTACTGACCTGCCCGACCCGACCCTACCCGGACCTGCCCTGGGGAGATGAGATAGAGTCCGTGGACTTCATACATGACAGCTCACAACCACAAGCCCATTATAAGTCCCAGGACTGCGCTGGGAAAAAGTCCACATCCTCCTCTCTTCCATCATTTCTTCTCCCTGTTGCTTCCCTTTAGTCTGTGAACAGTAAAGAGGGCCGAGGCCCCAGCCCACCCAGAGGCCCCTGCTGACGTCAGCTCCGTGACCCCTGCATATTTATCACAGAGTGAGGCCTGGACTGGCTGGCCGGGACTGGCTGACCGGGACTGGCAGACTACGATTGGCTGACTGGGACTGGCTGGCCGGGACTGGCTGACCGGGACTGGCAGACTACGATTGGCTGACTGGGACTGCCTGACTGGGATTGGCTGTCCTCTCTGTCTTTCTGTCATTCTTTTATGCTGAAGGCCGTGGGCCATAATGGATTGTCTGCTCCTCTGTCAGAAAGGGAGGGCTGCACATCGTGTATTCCAGAAGGCTGGTCGGCTGTGAAACAGGCCGCCACATAAAGGGAGGGCTGCACATCGTGTATTCCAGAAGGCTGGTCGGCTGTGAAACAGGCCGCCACATAAAGGGAGGGCTGCACATCGTGTATTCCAGAAGGCTGGTCGGCTGTGAAACAGGCCGCCACATAACATTCCAGAATGTCTGGCGGTGCCAGAGGACAAGACATGCTGTGCCTTCAGAGTGGCCGACTACTGAGAAACCTCACGGCACAGTGCCAGTGACAGGGCCACAGTGACAGGGCCACAGTGACAGGGCCACAGTCCAGATACCTACAGCTCCTTTTTGCTGTGACGACAACAACTGAGCGCCTCCGTGTGAATGTGTGAAACACACACTTCCCTGTGCCAATCTTTTGCTTCAGTGCTTCTTGGTACGGTGGCACCACATCCGCTGTCCATAGCCACAGCACTGGCTGGGCGGGCTCTCATTCCACTTAGTTTTAGAAGAAGGCACCTTAAGAGATTCACAAGCCGTGTCTCCATTATTATAACACAAACAAGTTAGAAGCACACAGATGGTCTTTTATACTGTGTATGACTATATATTTTGCAGAAATTTTCCACGTACGATTCTTGAAGTATCGTTTTTTTTTTGCTGCATTATCACTTGGAAATGGAATCGGAGGCCGGTCAAGCTGTAAGAGTCTTCATGATCCTTTGAGGTGTGTTGGTCCACTGTTTCATTTTTCCTCAAGGACACAGGTCCTACAGGCCTCTATGTTGTCTGTATGCAGGGTCATACGATCCACATATCGACTTATTGCTCTTAATTAACATGTACGGTTTCACACACTGGGTTTTTATTTTGTTCACGTTCGGTAGCACTGAGTGGGTGACCCTCAAGACACAACACATGATCTCATTATGATCTCATCATGACCTCATTATGACCTCATTATGCACAGAATAAGTGAATGTGTCACGCTGGCCAATCAGAGTGCCTGGTCGATAATGGGAGGAGATCCCTGATAACCCGGAGTTGCTGGTCCTACCCGTGTCTCAAGGGAATCCTACCCACGTATTTCTCCTCACTGGTTGTGCAGCCGTTGATTCTAAATATGCACACACTTACACTTACACACGGAATATACTTATATGTAGAAATATGTGTGTTGAAGTGCCTGTGGGTGTGTGTGAGAATGCCTGTGCTCCAGTGGCAGGGCCATTTTTCATTCACCCTGTTGAGTGAGCTGGATGACGTCCATCCATCTCCACCAAACGGTTCTTACTTTCTATCTCTCCATCATGTGGCTCAGGCCGAGCCAGTACCTTATCACAGTAGCCCAGTCAGAGGAGCTGACCTTATACTACTGAACCGTACACTAAAGGGTGCTGATATAGAGATTGCAGAGAGATGAGGTCACCACAGGGATCAAGTGCATTCTGATTTAATCGCTGATGAGATTATTTCGAATGTACAGTAATTATTAGTGTATGTTTGGCAAATTTTATTTCTCTTTTCCCGGTGATGCATTTGCAAAAGCAAACATGACTATGTATGCCTAGAGTATATATTTTCGTGGGGAAATTCCCTTTGATGATAGATCTTTTTTATCTCAGCATTGTATGAAGAGACTCCTAGTCAAGGAATGTGTAATCTACTTATGGACTGAGGCAATGGCATTTTCTGAACTGTAGTTTGAATAGCACAGACCTCCTCATCCAAATAAATCTCGAATCATTTTTCATTAACATGACAAGAGTTGATCCCTATTGATGTCTTAATCTCTTAAAACAAATATCAATTTTGTTTCTATTGTATAGCTGCGCTACGTTCCCCATGTCTGTACATAAGGAGGCTAGCTTTTCTACCCTCTTTCAGAAATTTCCCTGAAAGTGATGAATTTTCTCCTAGCGGTAGTTTTCAATAAAGCACATATGACACATGTCGCGTCACGTTTGTATCGCTTAGTGTTTAATTATCTAGATGGTTCATAAAAAAGGAAACTAGATTATTTATCTAAACATGAAAAGGTCTAAAGTTATTTAATGTATTAAAAATTGGGACGTATCATTTAACTGTAGATGATATAATCTGCTTTTTCAATAAAGTGGTTTTGTAGCTAACTTAAACCAAATGTGTTTTTATTTGATTTGATAATTTTTACCCCATTTGTGTTTCTATGTTCTGGGCTACCAAATGTACATTTATTCATCATCGGTTTACTCATTCATTGCTGTAGAACTTTGCCATTCGACATTAAAACAATTAAATACAGTAAACATGATAATGAAATAGTAAATATGTGTGCTATGTTTGGGAGGAATATACAGCAAGATCCACACACAGGGAGAACGGGCTCAGCCCTGGTCTCTGGATAAAAGGCATATGTTGTTGTCGAATGCCTTCCTGGTTCAGCAGTGTAGTCAGAGATGTTTGTTCTGGAATGATATCATCTTCGGACGATCAGAGCTGGTCTAATTGCTGGTGTGTAATTAAATGCCTGCACGCAAGTCTCTCCCGCCAGTTATGTGATTGAGGATTCCTCATAGAGCAGACCTTCACTCTGCCCTGATCTTCTGACTGATAGCTGTGTTCCTGACAGAGACATTACTGTAGTATTGTTGACTCGGGAGGTAAACAGGCCATTACTGAAATGTATCAAGCATCTCGGACTTTAAGTGCTGATCTAGGATCTCTACTTTATAATGTCAGCCTATTCATTTTGATGAAAGGCAAACATCATTACGTTTATTCTTGGACGGTTAATGTATAGTGCTCCAGAAGGCATACTCACCGCTGGAAGTATTCTTAACAGTTACTGTCTAGTTTTAAAAACTCTCTCAAAAGTATTCACGCCCTTTGACTTTTCCACATTATTGCGTGTCTATGAAATTAGAAAACACTTATCAGCCATTTTCTCCACTAATCAATACAAAGAAGTATATAATCCCATATAAGTGAATAAATAAAATCTATAAATTGTTCTAAATGAATATATTGCTTTTAAGCCAATTACATGCACACAAATTGAGTGTATTCTCTGCAAAACCTTTTTTGTTTAACAGATGCAGGGATAAGAAAATAAGGGGAGCCCTTGTTGAGTTTGTCCACAAGGAAATATTTTGCAACCAAAGCATTTTGTTTAGCATACTGAATACAGCCCGGTTTCTACCTTTGGGCAAATCAGTTTTCTCCTCTCGTCCCACATCTACCTGCTTGCTTCAGGAAAGCAGAACTACTGGTAGGTTGTCAGGGTAACCTGGTTCTCAGAGCTTGTTCAACGTGGTGACATTCTATCTGCCAAATAGATTTTACTACTGTAGTATTTTAGATGTTTTTTTTGCGTGTAGATATTTTTTCTGTTGACTAGCCATTATGGTATAAATGAGTGCTCCCAGTCAGCAGTGGTGAGTACCTACCAACAGTGGTCTCAGGAGGGACAAACCGCCAGCCGGTGGAGGGAGTTTGATGCTTCTGGGTAATGTCCTGGGAAACCCTGTGTCTGGGCATTTATGTGGACATCCGTTTGACCAATGCCACCTACACAAACATTGTTGCAGACCAGGTACACCCTTTATGGCAATTGTATTCCACACCACTGCCACACTGATCACATTGTTCGGGAATCGTTTGAGGAACATGATGAAGAGTTCAAGGTGTTTCCCCGGCCTCCAAATTCCCAGGACCTGAATCCGATTGAGCATCTGTGGGATGTGCTGGAACAACAAGTCCACCTAGCAACGTACAGGACAGGATCTGCTGCTAATGTCTTGGTGCCAGATACCACCAAGCACTTTCAGGGGTCTTGTAGAGTCCATGCCTCTGCGGGTCAACTGTTTTTGCGGCACACTGAAGACTAACAACATATTAGACTTGCAAGATATAGGTTGTCATAATGTTTTGACTCAGTGTATTTAGTGTTTTTATATTTTTATTTAACCTTTATTTAACCAGGCAGACCGATTGAGAACAACTTCTCACTTGCAACGGCGACCTGGGGAGATGCTGGGGACTGATCCCAAGACATCATACATACAAAGCATGCACTCTACCACTGAGCTACACCAACTCCTACATGCACTCTACCACTGAGCTACACCAACTCCTACATGCACTCTACCACTGAGCTACACCAACTCCTACATGCACTCTACCACTGAGCTACACCAACTCCTACATGCACTCTACCACTGAGTTACACCAACTCCTCCATGCAGTGAACTAATGAATAAAAAACAAACCTTATATTCTCATTATTAGATGTCTATACAGGAGTGTACAGAAATTGACAAGTGTACTGATGCGATGTGAATCTCTTTCAGTGATATTTTGAATATTCTCAAAACGTACTACTGTTGTTATGTACGGATAATGGATATGTATTGTATTGGGAATGACTGCGGGCGCTGAAAATATTTCATTTTAGGCATAAGTACCCTCTGTCAACCTATAGAGGTATGTGAGTGAACACTGGACGGTTTTACTGGTAAAATGTGTATACTGAGGAACTCATCCTGGGTCAAACAGAGAAAGATGTGTGAAGCTTTTACAGAGCATCCTAAAATACACCAACAGGCATTCAGACAAATCTCGTTAAATTGTATCGCAATCTGTTATGACTAGCTGGGACCTGTTTGGGTATGATTCAGTAGAAATGTCTGGTGAATATGCGTAGGAGTATCCGGCAGCAGTGTTTGTCCCCAACTCAGCCCGTTCAACCTGAGCACCTGAACAGTCATGTTTAGTATGTGGAACACTGGTGTTGGTTGTCAGCTCCAAGAGTTGGGGCACAAAGCGCCCTTTATGTGTGTGTCAGGGTACCGCCCAGTGACTCAGGGAGCTCTGTGTGTGTGCAGTGTGGCTGGAGCCCCAAGCACCCAGCGCTATAGGTAAGCTCCATTACACCACACAAAGGAAAGCCTTCCGTCCAGAGCACAGAGCTCACCCCCACTGCCAGGCGATTGTGCTAAAATATGCATTTAACAGAATTACCGTTTATTCTCCGACATGATTATTTGGTTAGAGACAATGATGTTGTATAGTGTCTTAGTCTGCCAATTCACAGAACTTAAATGTTGTAAAGTTAAATATATGTATTTAACTACTTCAACTTTATCAATGCGCGTAACTGTGCTCTTTGACCACCAACAACGTCACTATGCTGGAAGCGTCGCTGATTGGGCAGATGGCTCACCAACGGAAAGCTCCGGTTGATTTACTTATCGCGTCACAGACTAGGCTGATATTGTTATTCTTTTAACATTTAAAGTTGCGGCCCTGAAATGAAGTTCCATTAAAACGGAAATGACTGTATATTGTATCATATCAATATTAACCTTAATATCATGCTAGAAATCACGTCACAGTGCGGAAAGAGAAGAAACGACAACTAAATTCTAAGAACGAAATACGTATCCCTCCAAAATCACATGGACTGAACACGAAAGATGCGGATGTCAGCAGACCATGAGACTAAAAAAACCCAGCTGTCAAGTCCGATAGGCTAGTTGATTGTCGTGCGATTCAGAAAAGTCTGGCCTGAATGTTGTAGAGATTTGACTGACAATTTTACTGGCAGACGGGAGGGAGGCAGCTTGGAATCTACAAAGCATTCGACCCCTCAAAGCTCCAGGCCTCCAGTCCCACAGTATAATAATCACTCTTAGTGGATAGCTGGGCAATTACGTTACGTGCCGTGGCTTGCTATAAAAAAACATGCATATTCTCTACTGAACATTAGACTAAGCAAATCAAGTGACCAAATTGATATTCCGTATCCAAGAAACAGATGCCTGTGCTTATCACGTATCACAATATCTCGGGTTTACCAATAATGGTGAGACCGACAACAACTAAATATCCATGCCAGTACTGCGGGCGTAACGGATCTACGTTAACGTTTGAATCAATGAATAGTAGGAATAGTGGAAGCTACATGCAAGCCTTAAACAAGTCGTGTGCCGAACCGCGTCAGTGCTTGTCTTTATTGGATAAGCGATAGCAGCAGACAATCAGTGAGCAATGCCCTTTAAACCAGAAGAACAATGAATACTGCAGGAGTACAAACATGTTGCTTGCCAGATGAAGTCTGGTTCTTGTAGGATCCTTTTGATGGCAGTCAGGATTTGGAAAAACACAATTTGTCTTTGGACCTATCCTGCCTGTGGTCAGGGTGGTGGTGTAATGGTTTGGGTCTTATGTAATCCTTGCTTGAACGCCACAGTGTATATAGCTAAACCAGCAATTAAATTGAATCGACAGTTCTCAGCATAAGCTAACATCTCTCTGATCAGCAGTCTTTGCCATGGCTATCTAAACTATAGTCCCTAAGCGATGCCTTGAATTCTTTACTGTAAAGCACAGAGGAGAAAATGAAGAATTCTAATCCTTAAGTGATCAGAATCAGGGTTATTTGTAGTTATTCATATTCTGTATTGATTAGGGATGTACAAAAACAAAACCATAGGTGTAAAAAGTAATTTCTCATCTTCAGTCCTTCCCTCATCAATCATAAGCTCTTTCCTTGTCAATCATCAGCCCTCCCTGTGTCAATCACCAGGTCTCCACTTGTCAATCATCAACCAACCCCATGTCAATCATCAGCTCTCCACTTGTCAATCAACAACCATCCCCATGTCAACACTCAGCTCTCCACTTGTCAATCATCAGCCCTCCCCTTGTCAACCCGCAGCTCTCCCCTTGTCAATCATCAGCCCTCCCCTTTCACCAGTCATCCCACAAGCTCACGATTGACGAGGGGAGTGCTCATACTTGACCAAGCAAGGGGCGATGTTTGAGGACGATGGAGGACGAAGTTCCTGTGGAGGATGTATCCTATTATGATGCTGTACTGCAGATTCTCTTCAAACATCTGCTGCCTGTTAGAACCATTTAGATCTCACAAGCTCACATTCTGCTTCATAAAACCACCCTGAGTCAGCAATGAATCCTAGATTGGTTTGATCGGTATCTACTTGACTGTCTATTTCCTTCATTACTCTTGTCCCTGACCAAATGTAAATCAATAAGCTTTCACTTTTCTTTTCAGAATATTATCCAAACTCTATGTTCTGTGCTACTACGCCTGAAATAACTAAAGCTAAGTTATGTTTGAAATATAGAGTTGTTGCCAAGCAACAGGACTGCGTAGCCCATCACTGGTGTCTAGGGTCCCTAGTTTTTTCTCGTTGTGCTCTTAGGCACTCAGCAACTTATAACCAGGAGCAGTTCAGAGAAAGAAAGTACTTATAGTTTGGTGTAAAGGAACAACATTCTTTCTTTTTAAATACAGTCGAATAAAAAGGCATTGCAAAGAAAATGCACTATGAAATGTATTTTCTAATCTTTTAATATTAAGTGGAAATTATAATGAGACCGTTTTTAAATTTCAGAATAGTAATTTTTAATGGGGTTTTAGCTGAACATCAGTGAACATAATTATGATTAATATACAATATTTTTTCCCAGATGTATTTCTGCCTGTTGTTTGTTGTCTCTGGTTAAGAATGCTACTTATGTCTGTGGAGTCTGAGGATTTATGGGTAAGGAAAAGAGAGGAGTTAGGCTGACCTCTGCCCCCGTGTTCCAGAGAATAATTACAGCAGTGATTTGCTGGGAGGCTGGTTTAGTTTACACTGGGATTGATTTAAGGTCCTTCAGTGCCACCTAGTGACGTGAACATGACGTAACAGTTACATTCATTTATTCAGTTACATATATTTATTAATAAACGTTGATTAGACAAATTAACGCTGTAACTGGCATCTTTGTAATTGATCCGTCTCATACAGATCTTATATCTAGCAACTGTGTCACTGAGATCTGATTATTGTTACCCTCTGGAAACCAGATAAATCACGGCTACATAGTCAACACGTTTATAAAACCCATGGTGAGTTTAATAGATGTTTGGGGGGCACGTTATTTATACGTTTTCATACTTTATTCGATAAGATAACGAGACTCATAGACCCACCCATTGATTTCCTGTAGGCTTGTCAATATCTCTGCAGACTTATGAACCGAATGGTTAGAATCACTTATTGACAAAATCTGAATTCGCCATTACTCCATTTATTTTTATATTCCACTGGATCTCTTTAGAGTAGCTTTCCCCTTTGTAGTGAGTGGTATTATTCCAAAACATTCCGACGTATTTGGAAAGTCAAATGACACAATAGACAGACATAATATCGGATATGACAAAGTGCATCTGCTCTCTTCTTTGTGGTCTACTATTACTACCGTTCAGCCCAATCAGAAGGCAGATAATTGGGACTGGGCGGGACAGGAGGCGGGGCGATGGTGCCGTGAGGATGTTCCCATTAGGCGTGGTTCTTTTTGATGAAGTTTATGAGTCCATTGGTGGAAGAGTCATGTGAGTGAACCTCATCTGTGCCCTGCAGCTCAGGCTCAATTCTCTTACACAGTGCCTTACCCAGCTCGACGCTAAAGCAGAGAGAGGGAGGGATGGTGGAAAAGAGAGAGAAAATAATACATAATTAACACGTTGTTAATTACAATTAAATAGGACGTACTGTAGGCTCAGTCAGTAATGTCATAGATAACACATTATAATGTGTTTTGCAACACTTACCCCCACTGGTCAAAACTATTGATCTCCCACATAACACCCTGGATAAAGATCTTGTGTTCGTACATAGCTGTGAAACAAACAATGACATCAGAATATCAGGAGCAGCTATCGGGAGCAAAGCAAATAGGCAACATTTTCTCAGTTGTTGGTTCACTATTCAGCTATTACCAATAAGTGCTCCAAGTGTGAATGGGTTCAGCTTCTTGAAGACGATAGAGTTGGTTGGCTTGTTTCCTTGGAATACCTTACATTAGAACCAGAGGAAGACTGTTAAGACGTATTCACGATAAATAGTGCAGTATCGTTTCATCCAAGAACAACACCAGGGCTTAGAACCCTAACAGAATTTCGGCTGGACCGGAGCTGCAGTAAACTAGCTGCATGATTGATGTGCTACAACAACTCACTTTGTGCGGCAGAATGGTTTCTAAAGCATCTCCTGTCAGGCCGCCGGCCTCCAGCTCCTTACGAGC